CTGACCCCATTGAAAAGCTTCATGAGCCTGAGCCAGGGAGTCTGAGTCATGCTGAAGAGAGAAGAATTGGATTTCTGTCTTTTTTCCTTCCCCATCAGGGCTGGTGGAAAAACTCCAGCTTAGTGATACTTACATTTGAAGTCAAACTAAGAGTTAAGGGAGCTCTCTAGGATTTATTGTGAGGCTAAAACACCAAGCAAGACTTGAGACTTATAGAGACCGGGAAGGCCAACTGCAACGTGGAGAGACCATTTTTCTATTTTTCTTTCATTCCTGGGGCTTCAGTCACCTTTTAGTAAAATGGATATGATATATTCTTCTTATAAGTGTTCTAAGCTAATTAAATAGACCAAAATTAAACCATTTGGGAAAAAATTCATATTGTGGTGAGTTTGTGTTTTATTTGGTCACCTTCTGTAACCCTTGTTTGGTCTGGCCTGGCCTCCTTCCCACTTCCAAACCACACACATGCTCTACTATCCTCACATTAGAGAGGCATGCAGGGATCCTGACCATACTATTTGTGCTACCATCCAAAGAAACTCTAGAAAAATGGCATCCATATCCTTTTAACCACAGGACATTAACAAGAATTTTTTTGAGAAATAAAAAGCATATTTTATAAAATTTATTTTATTGTTTTGTTTTAAGATGTACTATTTATGAACCACTAGAAGAGAAAAACTACTTCCAATTCCATGGAGACACAATGCTTTCTTTTATCCTTTTATTTCTGTCTATCTTGCTAGAGGATTATTTATTTTATTGATTTGTCTTTAAGAATCAGCTTTTGTGGGCAGGAGCAGTGGCTCATGCCTATCATCCTAGCACTCTGGGAGGCTGAGGCAGGGTTGATTGAGCTCAAGACCAGCTTGAGCAAGAGTGAGGCCTCATCTGTACTAAAAATAAGGGAAAAAAGAAAAAAAAAACCTAGCCAGACATTATGGTAGGCGCCTGTAGTCCCAGCTACTTGGGAGGCTGAGGCAAGAGGCTCACTTAAACCCAAGAGTTTGAGGTTGCTGTGAGCTATGATAACACCACAGTATTCTACCCAGGGTAGCAGAGTGACACTCTGTTTAAAAAAAAAGAAAAATGAGGTTTTGTTTCATTTATTTTATCTATTGTTTTTCTATTTTCAGTTACATTGATATCAGCACTTCTCCTTATCAGTTGTCTTCTTTCTGCTTACTTTGGATTTATTTTACTCTTCTTTTTCTAGTTCCTCAATGTAGAAACTCAAGATTATTGACTTGAGACCTTGCTTCAATTCCAAGGTAAGCATTTTAGTGCTATAAATTTTCCTCTCAGTACTGCATTAGATGCATCTTGCATATTTTGATACATTGCTTTAAAATTTTTACTCAGCGCTATCAATGTTTAAATTTCCTTTAATATTTTTTCACCATGGATTATATAGAAGTGGGTTGTTTAATTTCCATGTGTTTAGAAAGTTTCCTTTTGCCTTTCTGTTATTAATTTTTAATTGATTTGATTATGGTCAGAAAACACATGCTGTATGATTTCAATTCATTTAAATTTGTTGAGATGGGTTTTGTGTCCCAGGATATGGTGTATCTTGAAAAATGTTCAGTGGGTGGTTTAACAAGTTATGTTTTCTGCTGTTGGTGGTGGAATGTTCTAAATTTTCTAAATATCAATTAGAGTCTATTGGTTGATTATATTGTTTGCATCATCTATATGTTTGCTGGGTTTTTGTCTAGTAGCTCTACTATTTTCTAAAAAGTGGTGTTGAAGTCCCCAGCAATAAATGTAGGTTTATCTGCTTCTCCTTTCAGTTCTGTCACAGTTTCTGTTTCATATACTCTGAGAACTCTTGTTTGATGTATGCACAGTTAGAATCGTTATCTCTTCCTGTTTATTTGATCTCTTTGCCATTATGTAATTGATAGGAACAAAAAGATACCTCTTGTCTGTAGTTATTTTCTTTCCTCTGAAATCTGTTTTACCATATAATAATATGTGCTGATTCTGGTTTTATACAAATATTTGATTTATAATAACTTTTCCCAAGTTACTTTGTATCTTGATTAGATGACTGAATACTACCTAGACAGGACCAAGATATTAAAACATTTAAGTATGATAATACCACCCCAATTCATTTTATCTCATTAAGACATGAATAACAGAACTTCAAGTTATACAGATCTGGCCCCAGAAAGATGTAATTACGACACCTTTAGGAAATGAGTAGATATACCATAGATTGGGAAATTTTGTTAGCAATATGACAAAGGATATGTATCCATATTTAAAGAGCTCCTAAAAATCCACAACAAAAGAATACACAGTCTAGCTTTAAGAATGGGCAAAAGATTGAATACACACTTCACAAAAGAAGATATATGAATGACCACTAAATACATGAAAAGTTTTCAACACTGGTTATCAGGGAAGTAGAAATGAAAATCACAAGGTCCCATTTCACACCTACTACCCACCCCCCTCAAAGTACAAAAGACAAGGACAAATGTTGGGCAAGAATATGGAGCCACTGGAACTCGTATATAGTGAAGTAGAAATGAAAATGGCAGAACAATCTTAGAGAACCTTTGGGAAATTTCTTACGATTACCGTATGACTCATCAGTCTCATCAGATAGTTCTTTCACACACAAGCCTGAGCATTTAGGTGTTGCTTTTTTTGCTCCCATATTTTCCATGTTTTTATTTTACTGTTTTCATGTTTCTTCTATTCTTTCACATCCTCAATGAAGTCTCTCTAATTAACCATAAGAGATTTATTTCTTCTACATTCACTGGGAATTATATATGTGATGACAAAAAAAAAATTACTATTAGATGTTTGTTTTACCAAAATAAGATGACAACTATTGTCTTGATGATGACTGTGGATATCAGCTATATGTCACAGGTAACAATGAAAATGGAACACACGAGTATACCAATAGAAGAAAAACAATATTTGGATTTTAAATTTTGTTTCATGTACAAATAATTCAGAGCCTTCTGTAACCACAGAATGAAAACCACATCATAGTCATTTGAAAAGTTCATTTATTATATACCAATATACACTTTCTGTAATAAAAAATCCTCCCAATACATTGAACCATCTTATAAATGAAATATGAAAATAAAAATTTCATCTGTTTACAAATGGGGTTAAATTAATCAGCACAAGATACCATATGTATGTCTGCCCTGCAGTATGTGCAAACGCTAATCCTGAAAATGGCCATGAGAAAAAATGATGCTTTATCCTTTGGCACTATTGTATTGCTCTTAAATATTTATATAATTACACATGTTGATACTTTCAAGCTAGTCATTTTAAATGTAAAGCATTCAAGCATTCAAAATATATACAGAGTTTACAGTTCTCCATTTTGGGGATTAATCATTGATATTTACACTTAAGTATGCTTCAATTAAACATTTTTTTTAACATTCAGAAACACTTTTTTTCCACTTTCTATTTCAATACATTCTTTAGATGAAGGAAAATGGAACTATGTCTTAAAGATGATATTCAGCAATATTTTTCAAAATAATGGTAACTCAGAAGTTATAATATTTTCTAGTTATGATCAATTCCCATTAACAAAGTGCATCATTTTATAGTATTATGCCTGTAGAAAACAGCACATAAAACCAATATATATCTTCTTGGGCACATCTCAGAAAAACTACTGAATATGATTTAATATTATCATACTTATATGATACTTGTATTTCATATTTGGCTTTACTAAAATATAAAATATACAAGTGAATGCTATGACTTAGAAAGAAAAAGGAATAAGTTCCAGAAATTCTAGGCAATGAGTGGCAATTTTTAAATCCATTTTATGTAAGTATGTTATAGAAGTGAGCAAGAATGATAGTTTGCATTTCTTTGTAGTGTTAGCACTTTTGTTTTTATGGGACAACCACTCGGTATTGTATTTAAATAAGAAATGAATGTTGGCAAACACCTATGCAAGCTCAAATGAACTAAATGCTATTTTAGACATGCTAATTTAAAAGAACAACCTTAGTATAGATAATCATCTGCAAATAAGGAACGGATTGTCTTATAGATGATTATAGCATTGGAAACTTTGAAGAAGAGGGTTACTGAACTACATAACTTAGGTTTTAAATTTGAAATATCCCCAACAGACAGATACATACAAATGGATTTTTGAGCCCACCAACTTAATTCCCTGCCCTCACCCCAATAATATAAGTGTTTTGACCATGAAGAAAGAAAACTACACATGTAAAAAATAAAAATCAAATGTACCATACGTTAACATTCTGATGACTATAGAATAAGATTATATACATAAACACATAGCAAATCACAGTTTCCTGCACTGAATGTTTATCAAATAAAAATGTATCAAACAATACTGGGTAGTGTACCTCCACATGAATTGTGGTCTTCTAAAAATTCTGTGTGAGAATGGAAGACGAGAGGGAGAGCATTGTTCAAGGACAAAAGTATGATGAGAGAACTAGAAATAACATTAAAAAGCAGGTACTTCCAGAACAGGCAGTTTAGCTATAAGAATTATATTTGTTGTTGCTCTAGAATTTAAATAAAGCCCCTCTCTATGTTTAGTAAGATGTTTTAACATGTACCCAAAAGTCCTTTGAATAAAGAAGTCATTAATTCAATGCCACAGTCAAGATGGGCAAAATATTTTGTTGCTATTCACAATAAGATGCTCTAGGCCAGTGTCTCATTTGTATACCTTGTGGGGACGGTTTATGAGCCATACCATTTGCCTCTGTTGGTAAACAGACCCAGAGTTTTTGGTGTAAAACTGGGAGAAGGCATTCAGTGGTGATAGCTTTGCCACCAGGGCATTTTTGTTTGATGTTCCAAGAATACAAATATTTGGGGTGGCCCCTGTGGCTCACAGGAGTAGGGTGCTGGCTCCATATACTGGAGGTGGTAGGTTCAAACCCAGCCCTGGCCAAAAACTGCAAAAAAAAAAAAAAA